TTTTGTTTGGAAAAACCTTTTATTTGTGTTTCTTCTCCGGATTGTTTATCTCAAGAAAGATAGCGTCGAAGCAGCCTGGAATGGCAGATCAGGAGCTTACAATAAAGGAAAACATTGACTAAAAGGATTTTTTGCTTCAGATATTAAATCTCACATTGTTCCATGATAACTGAACAACTGATTAACAGCTCTTGCCAGGAAGCAGCTAACGTTTTGGAAAATAAGTTTACCGAGTAAATGAGTGAAATCGAAATGTTTTCAGTAATGGTGAAATTCGATACATCGCTTTTTTATTGTGATATCCAAATGTTGTCTAAATTGTGATATAAAAAATGTGAAAATCTGATACCGGTGTACTATACCATGGGTTATTTTACCAGTACAAATAAAAGCTAATTACATGTATATAGTTTCAGAAAATTGTCTTTTCTCCAAAAAACAATCTTGTTTTCTCAATTTTGCGGTAATTTTAATTTCTATTGTTTCAATAAAAAAAAATTTTCTAGTAAAAATCAGTGATCAGTTTCAAAAAAGTTCTTACAACTAATACCCAAAATAAGTTGATCTTAACATTCTGCAAAATTTATTATTCTGTTTAAAATTGCTACGGTGATTTGATCTTTCTACTTTCTTTTTGAAAGATTTTGAAAAACTATTTTCAATTCAATGTAAAAAAAAAAAAACAGAAGAATTTTTCTTTACTTAGTCGAAAGATCTTTTGCAAAATGGGCTCTAGATTTTTACAAACTTGGGCAAATTTAGGAGCTAGGTACTAAATTTTGTAGAAAGAGCATGTTACAGTACGTATGTGAAGACTCTCCAAGTCATCAGGGCCTGGGAATAACTGTAATCTTTAAGGATATTATTCGTGGTGTTTTCCCTACACTCCCATTTTCAACTCACGAATTCAGAGTACCTTGAACAATTCCATGTAAAAAGATTATTCTTTGTACATTAAAGACATACTACGAGTAATAATGAATTCTTGTGAGAATTCATAAGACTTCATAAAGACATAATAAATTCATTCACCAGTGATAAGGTGTATATTCTAGGAATCACTGTTCTGTGTGTGTGGGTATACCAGGGCATTACCAATACATGTAGTTAACTCATTCTTCAATAATGGTGAATTTTTAAAATGTATTTCTTTCTACCTTATTTTCCAATAATTAAAGTGTAAGCAGATAGATTGATATTAATACGATTTGATATTGTGTAAGGATAAAGTATAAATAGTTTTATGAATGTGAGTTGAGGAATAAAAAAAAATATTGGTCATTGTTGTATTGCATTTAGGGGATTTCAATCACAGAAAATGTGACATTATTTTCGAATAGGCATAAATATATTGTTTCATTTAAAAAAAAAATCATTTCTGATGATATACGAGGGTTGTCCAAAAAGTTTGTGGACCATGGCGTTTATGTTAAAACAAATGGTTCAATATGAATCTTTTGTATATCAAAATATTTCTTATGAAAAAATAAATCAAAATGATTTAATTTTTATGGATGGAAAGTACTATTTTTGTAAAAATCGGGGTCTTTAAAGGTCGCGGATAGTGCGCACGGACCAGTCTGACGTTAAGCTAATTTCATTATATAACGTCAAACATTTGGATTTTGACTTAACATATGTTCATGGACACACACTTCATTTCTTTTTTTTATGGCGCAATGAACTTCCAAATGCTAGCAATAATCTTCAAGTATAGATTATAGTTAATTTAATTTTCAAAATTCAAATACTTAAGATATCATAAAATGATTATAGTCTCTTTATTTATTTTTCATAAAACTTTTATTGAGCTTTGACTTGTTTTATACAGAAAATATTCATTTAATCCGAACACCTTTTATCAGAGTTAATGTCATTTTAACCTTGGTCCGTGCGCACAACTTGCGATCTTAAAAAACCCCGATTTTACAAAAATATTACGTCCCATCAAAAAAATTAAATCATTCTAACTTTTTTTCATGAGAAGTAATTTGATATACAACAGATTTATATACAACCATTAATTTCACAAAAACATCATTGTCTACAAACGTTTTGGAGATCTTCACATTGAAAGATGTTTCTGATATCGACATTAAACTACTTTATTTTGAGTTCATAAATTATGAAAGAGTGCAAAAACAAAACTACTAATAAATTTCTATGGAATTTAGTAATTAAGTGTGTGATTTTGACGGAGTTCACAATTCTAGATTTACATATGTTTAGTTGTTTTCCTTCATCTGGAGGTATTTGTACACAATGACAGTAGAACTATCCTCACCCCCGACCATTAAACTGTCCTGGTCATCCAAAAAGAGAGCACGGGGTTTCTTCGGACATTGATCTGGTGGGAGTAAAAGGGACAGGAATTGACCATCCATGTCCAGCAGGTGGACGCTGGAATTATTTCTGAACAAGGAGCAATAGCTATTACACACCAAGATATGTCCCAGCCTGTCTGTACGGATACCATTAGGATGGAATGCAGACTGAGACTGGAGACCAAAGTAAAAGAACCGGTGCTGTCCGGATCTGGTCACCCCTACCACTCTATGGGCGGTATTGTCTGATGTACAGATGTCACCGTTGATGTTCTCTGTGATGTAGTTTATACTCTTGTAAAGGTTATTCCCTTTTTCATCTCTTTGGATCACTTGGAGTTTTTTCCCTTCCTTGCTGAATCTGGTCACCTTGAATTCTTTATTTTTAATCATCCCCACTAGCATGTCTCCATTGATGCAGGAGGAGTGAATTGCCCCAGGTTCCCACTCCTCACACAAGATTATTTTCGAGCTGGTCAATTCGCTAGTAACCTGGAAGATAGTTTTAGTTTTGGCAACTGTGAAGAGAAGTTTTCTTTCTATGGTAGTTGTGTGATAACCCATGGCATCTACTACGTTAGTAGTTATTTTCTTTAACACATTCCCCTCCTTGTCAAATAGGATGAGGTCACCCCAGCTGTTACTGGCCCAGAAATTCCCAGAGGACAAAACAGATAAATGAAAGGCTGGGTTACGAATGTTAATCTTTCCTTCCTTTTTCACATCAAATTTAATTTTCGGAGAAAGTTGAATATCGCACAGAGACTTTGTCCTTCTGCTTCCTGTTTCTCTCTCCTTGCTCAGCGGTGGAAAGCTCTGACTAAAATTCATTACTTCTTCGAGACGACGGGAATACAGTTCTTTTACTGGCCACTTAATTTCCCCAAATTGTTTTTCGATCACCTTTTTATCTTCTGAACCTTTAATGAATGTCGGTGCCGTTGTATGATCAGTTACGGTGTCTTAAAATCTTTCAGTATTTGCTAAAATAACAGCCAATGGAATTTTAAGTTTGGGCTTCAGGAAGCCCATAGCATCTGGCTTTATAAATTAAAAACAATTGAGGTGGCGCATTCTCTAGAAATCATGGCTTTTCTGTTTCTTTTAAATAATGATCTTTAAATATATTCATATTGTATCAATTTGAGTGAATGTTATTATTCCACATTTCTTAGTTTTGTTCTTTCTTATCAAAGGATGAAAACTTATTGAATATTTTTTTTTAATATTTTATCGTTTACGCAATTACGTTCGTAAAGGAGACAAGAAAACTTGAAGTATTTTTGTACAGATGTTGTGCTTTAATTGCCTAGTTTCTCGTTTTTTAAGGATACATATACATGTAAATATAAACAGCATATGTATTGATTACATCATTGTGTATTTTGTTTTATATCTTTTTTTTTCTTTCAGATTTACAAGAAATGACTGAATTATGTTCGTAACAATGACACAAAGATCCACAAGACTCAAAGTAGAAGACATAGGATATTTTCTCTCATTTGACAATTTACTTATCTGCATTACATTCTCTTTGAAAGCTGGTCTATTACTAGCTAGAAGTGAAATCTCTAAAAGTATCAAAGACAAGTGTTTGATTGTCTTGTTATTTTTTTTTTTTCTATCTTCCTTTTTAAAGCCTGCATTAAAGAAATCCATGTTACATGTACATACATAATTTCTCCTGTTTTGAAACTAGAAATAAAAATTGTGACTTTTTAAATAAATTCCATTAAATATAATATTAAACATGATTTCATCATACCTTATTGATTACATTATTTTCATATTTTAACAACTTGTTAATCTCTAGTAATATGTTACTTGCTTAGTGCTTATGTAAGTAACAATTTGCATTGGTAATCTTGGATATATTTTCTGATTATAATAGAATAAGGCAGAAATAAATTTGCAAAAAACATGTAAATAATTTGTTGTATTCAAAAAGGATTCACCAGAGAATAGCTTATTGATTTAAAAAACAGTCACTGTAGACACCAAGTTACGTACATAAAATTTCAGACATGCTTGTACATTTGGACACCTATCTCATCTTTAAGACTTTAGATTATCTTAGCCATCAATTTTTTTCAGAAACAGGAAGGTTACTGACTCAATTAATACACATAAATTATGAAATTGATTATTTTTTATAAAATAGCCCTTTGGTCACACATCTGAATTCAGTTCTGAAGCATGAGTTAGTTAAAACTTGATTAATTTGCATTTCATACAAGTGACAACTTATTGGATACATGTATCTTTTACAATAGACACAAATTTGAATTTAATGTTTATTGTCACTCCATGCTCAGTAATGTCTGCAAGTTTTTATAACAAATAAATTGAACACACCCTGTGAACAGTATAGTATTAACAATAAGAGAGCTCGTGCCTTATTAACAAAACCAAATTATGTTTCCCAAGTGTGTTTATTTTGTTAAACTTTGCACACATCTGGGAACACATACTGACAATCTCTGGTGAGTTTGTTTTGCTTTCCCCCATTTCTACTCTGAATTTTCTGGAATCAAATGCGTTTAAGATTCATTAATGCACAACAATATTTCAAATTTTGTTAAATTATTTATTACAATAATAAGTATAAAATACACATATCTAGTACATTGCACAATTTTTCTTAATAAAAACGTTTTTATCATATATTCCTGTATGTCACGTTAAATTTGCCATGACTGTCTCTGCTTGTTTAAGTTCTGTTGAGATAAAAGAAAATACATTCTTATAAAATATTTTAATTAAGAAAAATCATTCCAATTTAAAAATTCTTTCTTAAACTGCAAAAAATTACAATCAAGAATATAGACAATTTCCATCTATCACAAAAATTCATTTCTTGGTAAATATTATCTCAAAAAGTGGATGCCTGGATTGGTATATATGTTGACTTATTTGGTTGTAAATGATAAGAATAAAATATTTCTAAAATTTCAAGAAATTGTAAACTTTCTACAATGTTAAAGTTTCCGCCTTTATGCCTAAAACCACCCTTGTTAATCTAGTACAATTTTTTGTCACCGAAAATGCAAATATTGTGAAACTTTGAAAGAGAATTGAGAAAATCTACGCGTTTAAACAACATACTGTATACAGGGAAATTTTGCCCCCATTTTATTTTCGCCCCATTCGCCCTTGTCTCATTTGGGCGAATTTAAAATGGGAGATGTATAATTTCTTAAACAGAACTGTGAATTGGCGAATTTAAAATTGGGGAAAATTGTTAGCAAGTGTAAAAGGGCAAAAAGTAATACAGGATAAAATTAACCCTATAATATACAATACAGTTCAATTTACAGATGTATACATGACTCAAATTGTTACCATATTTTCAATATTTTGACAAATTTATTTGTATTTTCTGTCTTTAAAAATTTTTTTGTTATGTTAAAATTGTTCTTACCACTTAGAAGCACTCTGAATTTATCCATATCTACTGTGAAGGAGACAGGAGTTGTTGCCCCTGTGTCAGGGTTCCGTACCTGTAATCTCATCTGAACACATGGTTTGTTCACTTCCTGATAAAAAAATTCATATGATCATTCATGTACATGATCAATTTTTTTTAAAATTAATTTTAATACAGATTAAGGTATCTACATAGCTTTTCAATTTCCCTTTAATTTTCTATCTAATATACTGCCCTTCATGCAGCCCAAACACTTTTAAATAATTTTTTGACATTCTGCAAAGCTTCCCTTTCTTTTATCCCAAACAAATTTAACCCTCTTGTCTAAGATTTTTGTCCTTACTTCCTATCAAAACCCAAATATATTCCCTCCCTATCCTACCCGCTCTATACATGTATATCTGACTGATTTCTCCTCTTCCTACCCTGTCTCCTTCAGCTCATCATTTCAGATCTATACAATCTATATGGCACAGCGCTTAGAGAAATTGCGCTAGAGTCGCATAGTAAGGAGTTGATCTTTTAAGTTTATACTGTGAGTTCAAATCCCAGTGTGAGAAATAAAGACTGGTCCTTCAGATGAGACCGCACATGAATAACCCAAAATTCACAATAAACACAATACTCAGATTCCTCTGACCTTAAGTTCACTGGAGCTGAGGATATAATCCACTCTCCACTCCGTCTTCTCTAGGTGTGATACTAAAATATAACATCAAAAACCAATAAAGATTCAGCATAATTTCCATAATGTAAACAATTGTAGAATTATATGTATTACAGAAAAATTCTATTTATTTTCTTATTTTGATTGATAATTAAAAGATTAAAAAACCAAAAAAACTAGGGTGATGGAATCATATCTCAAGTTATTTGTTAGATCTCCACCAAAAGTAATGTAAATATGGAAATGTGTATGGGCAAACATACTGCTAAAAATTTATTACCCTGAGCTTCCAAATCACTTACATGTAAGACTTGTTTATATACTTACATGTAAGACTTGTTTTATACCTACTTCTAAGACTTGTTTTACACCTACGTTCATCTAAAATTTGTTTTGAACTTACATCTAAAATTTGTTTTGAACTTACATCTAAGACTTGTTTTGTACTTACATTTATGACTTGTTTTATACTTACATCTATGACTTGTTTTATACTTACATCTAAGACTTGTTTTATACTTACATCTATGACTTGTTTTATACTTACATCTAAGACTTGTTTTATACTTACATTTATGACTTGTTTTATACTTACATCTATGACTTGATTTATACTTACATCTAAGACTTGTTTTATACTTACATTTAAGACTTGTTTTATACTTACATTTATGACTTGTTTTATACTTACATCTATGACTTCTTTTATACTTACATCTATGACTTGTTTTATACTTACACCTAAGACTTGTTTTATACTTACACCTAAGACTTGTTTTATACTTACACCTAAGACTTGTTTTATACTTACATCTAAGACTTGTTTTATACTTACATCTATGACTTCTTAAGACTTGTTTCATACTTACATTTATGACTTGTTTTATACTTACATCTAAGACTTGTTTTATACTTACACCTAAGACTTGTTTTATACTTACACCTAAGACTTGTTTTATACCTACATCTTAGACTTGTTGTATACCTACATCTAAGACTTGTTTTATACTTACATCTAAGACTTGTTTTCCTGAGGTGTGTTTGAAGTTTGTCTGAGCTGTCACTGTATGATTTACACAGGGAGGTGGCGTGTTCTGTAAATCAGATTAAAAAAAAATTCCTATTTATCAATTATTGAGACACTGAAACCTAAGCACAAAAGGTCAAGTACAAGTTGCGATAATAACTCATGGCAATTACAACTAAACATATATTTTTTGGGTTGTAATTCTGAATTTGAGTTTTAGTTAGTTCCAAAGCTGATGTTATGCCTCTGGTTATATACCCTCTACCTCTGGGGGAGCCCCAGCTATTGAAGTTTATTGGAATCGTTCACCTTTGGGGATCTCTGGCTATTGGAGTTAATCAGAACTACCTACCTTTGGGGAGCCCCAGTTGCTGAAGTTCATTGGACAATGTCTCTCCATCACAGCTATATTTAGCAGCACTTGACAAGATAAAAGTCAAGGCAGCTATGGAAGCCTTTACATCTCCAGTCTCTGTAAAAAAAAAATGCACACTAAATCCTTTTTTTCTGGGGGGGGGGGGTATATATAAATAAATTAATGAGACTATTAATGACAATATTTGAATATATTAATATCAACATAAATGTAAACTTAAAAATGGAAGTTTTAATATGAGTCTATATTTCTATCCACGTTTTTAAACCATATCTTTTTGCGGCTGCAATTATGTAGACTTTTCTGATTTCTTTTAATCTACTGTAATATTTTCTGGAGAGGACTACAATTCCACAGCATTTCCTTTATGGTGCAAATATACATTGTGTATTTTTCAAATACGGGTGACTGCAGGGAAAATAAATTGTTTTTACATTCAACTTTCTGGTACGTCTAATACATTAATTTAAAAAAATGTCACTGTCACTGTCAACAACATAGCCAATTAAATGCAAAACCATGTAAAAGAAATCTGTGTGTTTACCATGCAGTCACTCTCCTCAGAAGCCAGGGGATGACAAATCCCAATGCCCGATGCTCAGGGCTAGTGAATTTTAGGGGTGGGCAAGTGAAATTTTATCAACCACTTGCCCGCGGGCAAGTGACTTATCAAAAATAGAATTTATTTGTAGGCCATAAATTAAAAGCTGGGCATGGGGGCTTGCTCAGCATTTGTCTTCCTATTTTTTGAAATATCTATAAATATAGAATTAGTTTATGGTAGGGCAAGCAAAAATTCAGGTAGGGCAAGTCAATTTTGACCATGTACTTGCCCTTGGACTAGTGCCTTAAAAATCTATTTGTCAGCCCCTGGAAGCCATGACAGTTCTTGTGTGATGTACTGAGACTTTCACTTAAAATTTAGAATAACTTAATAGAGCAAATGTTGGTGTTTATCAATGATTGCGTTGACTGGTATCACTAAACATCAATAAAAAAACCATTCCATGTGCTATTTTTTCATAAACAGGGATAAGGGAATTTGTAAAAGATCTGCTCCTATAGATCCTGAATTCTCATTGGCTGTCCCAAAATAAAATTGATCAAGGTCAGTTTACATGGCAGATGAATTCAACTTATGATGTTGACATAAATGAATAATAAACAATATTTTGTATATTTTTGGATCGATTTATGTCTTGCATAACTACATTTTTGGAGGTCAGGTAAAAAATGTCAATAAAATAGAGATTCACTGAGTAAATAACTCCAGCACTTGCACCATAAAATAAAACACGGAAAGTTTCTCCAACTAAGATTCAAGTAAATTCTAAAGGGTAAAGAACTGTACTTTTTATTGTGTTTTTCTCAGTATTGAAAGATGGAAATTATACAATACTCTCCTGAATGATTATAAAATAAGTGAAAACTATCTACTTACCAAATTTGGCATCCTGTGTTATTTTATAAACCTTTTCATACTGAAATGAAAGAAAAAAACTGTGTGATTTGAATGCATATAACTAGGTGTACACAATTATCATGATTATTCAAATATTAATTTTTTTTAAAAGGATACATAATTTTTTTTACTTTCCAAAAATTAATGGATTTCCGAAATGAAAATTATAGTTATATATGTTTCTTCATATGCAGTTGACTCATGTTACATAAAAAAGTGAACATTCAAACACAGCAGGTTGACATATATAAATAATTTACATATTTTTTGAATAATAGTCTTAATTTTCTTTAATCACAACAAACTTACATCGATGCCCTCTGATAGCATGTCTTTGATAACTTGTACACACAGTAACTTCATCTTTATTGAAGTCTGAAAAAGAAAAGTTTGTTAACATCAGATCTACGGTATATATATTGTGTGACTGAATATACATTGAATTACAAAAAATGCTTTCCTTAAATCTAAGTTTTTATTTTATTTTACTGAACACAAAATGTGAAGTTTCTCTGTGACAAAATACCATACATCATTAATATAAATCAGTAGAAATATTTACTCATATATTTAATTTATCTCATACGTGTTGGTGATACAGGCCGTTGGATAAACTTATGCTTTATCAACGGGTAGATGCTTTATCAATAGCACTTCCGGTTTTGACACGAACCCTCGCTTCAAGATTTTATTTTATTGAAACTTTTATTTGTGAAAATTGTTGCCCTTATAAAATGAATGATAAAGGGTAGCAATATCGTTAAAAGCAAGATGTCAAAGAAGTGTCTTATTTTATCAAGGAACCCGTTGGCTATTTGAAGACAGATGTTACTCCCCCCCCCCCTCTTAGATCGTTTTCGGAGAAAGTAAAGCCTACATGTACCAGTTAAGTTGTTGTTATAAGACTCCTTTGACATCTTTAACAATGCTTTCTTATATTATACTACGTATGCCTACCTAGTAATGTAGGTGTAACTTACCATGGATCAGCAAACAATCTAGACAAAGTCTAGGCCCCTAGCCTTGCCTAGCATGATTTGTACTGCCATCGTAAAAAGAGTTGATTTTCATGATCCCCATAGTCCTAACAACTTTCAGTCAGAAGTTCGTTCGATGTAAAGCTCCAGCAATTTTCACATGATGTTTTCAAAGACACAGATAGCAAATATTCTAAATTTTGAACTCGATCTACTTTCTCTCGACGCATGTAAACATCAACGGTGCTACTTCATCAAGTTATACGTCATCAATTTGATTTTGGCAGTCATTCATGTAGTTTCGCAGGGGAAGTCTCAAAATTTTGTTAAAACGAAAGTCGTATGAGATAAATAGAACATCTATAATTGTGTGATTTGATATTGGCTTTATCCAACTCGTTGAAATGGTGTATATTCGCTCGGCAAGCCTCGCGAATATATACACCATTTCAACTCGTTGGATAAAGCCAATATCAAATCACACAATATAGATATCCTCTATATATTTTGCTTATAAACTGTGTGGAAAATGTAATAACACGATGTATTACAAAATGTAATAACACGATTTTTTGATTATTGCATTTTGTGTTGTTACATTTTGCGTTGAGATTAAGCAAAAGGCAAGAACGCAAAACGTACATGTAATAACACACTTTTTGATCAGCAAGATTGCGTACAATTTTCAATAGAATATTGGCAGATGAAAAGTTAAATAAAACAAAAGGGGGAAAACGATAGATGCAATTTCTTACAATCAATGAATTTTATAATATATTGATTTAATTAACTTGTTGGGGGGGATGACCAGTGTGCTTTTGCTTTTTAATGGCCAAATGTAAAGAAACTATAAAAAAACCTATTCCTGTGTACTGGCAGATGCAAATATATAACGGGGAATTACAAATTATATTTATTACACTTATTTACCACGTGTACAATATAAAAAAATTGTCGAAACCCCAAAACAATCGCTCCACAAAAAAAAAAATATGCCCACTTATACATTATAAGGAAGAAAGGTATGCAACTCTGGTTTGTATACGTTGTACCCCCACTGGTCTTTCTGAGTTTAAAAACATGTATTTATTTTATTTCAACCTAAAATGTCGATTCACACCGTCTCTACATATATTTCTGTCTTCATCCATGCTATCCGATTAACTCCGCATCTCGTAAAATTTTACAATATCTCCTTAAACAGTATTCCAGTTCAGAACTTTGAAATTTCCTTAGGTAATCACAAAAGTGCATAGAGAATGTTTCACTTATTAGGATAACGTCCGAGAGAGTTTTTGCCTGACGTAATAATCTCTCTCGGTGTTATCATACATTTTCAATGCACTTCCGTTGCTTTTACTTAGGGAAATTTCAACGTAAACAAACCGGAGTGGCATACCTTTCTCCTTTATGATGTATAAGTGGGTATTTTTTTTTGTTTAGTGATTGTTTTGGGGTTTTGACAATTTTTTCATATTGTACACATGATGAATAAGTGTAATAAATATAATTTGTGAAAAAAATGTCCAATTAGCCCCGGGGTTGAATATGGGGGGGGGGGGGGGGGGGGGGCACAAGTACCTGTGATTTTTTATGGGAGAGGCCTATCTAAGTTTTTGAAACTTGCTCCCAATCCTTTTGACATATTGTCAATAAAATATTTTCAAAACATCATTTTTTTAATCTTTACACAATCTTCACTGAGTTTCTTACCATTTTTGACAGAATACTGATTTCAGCCAGAACCCAGTCTGGGCAATCCAGGTCTCCGCAAAATCGGAATTTCTACAAATAAGATTAAATGGTACGCTAAAATTCATCAGCTAATTGTGAAAATGATTTTATTTAATAAAATACTCATCTTTGTTGCATGAATGTGTATGTTATAAACAAATGTTTACTTTCACTTCAATGAAAAAGCGTTTATACCATGTTTACCTTCTTTGAACAAATGAACACGAAATAATTTAGCACGGAGACATTATTTTTGTGCGGAAAAGACTTTCCGAAAGTAATCTTTTAAACCAAAAAAATATCAACAATTTGCCCAGAAATGCTTACCATTGTTAGAATTCAGAAGGAAATGTTTAATATTTTCCACACAGAACGCCCCTTAGAATAACGAAATCAAGTAGGAAGTCATTCACGAAAACTAATTCACGAATCTGCACATACAGTTTCCGGAATAAGATTGGTCCCAATACGACTTTTAAAATGTCTTTACCTATGTTTTCTATTTTAGAAGTAATCAGTATCTATATAATCGGCAAAATAACCGGGGGTGTTCCTACAAACATGTCTTTTAAAATCAAAATCGGATACTGATTTAACTGACATCATGCATGAAACTGTTTTACATATCTTTTTAAAAAAGGACTTAATTTTAAAATTTGAAATGAAAAGTGCATGTACGTATGGACTGTTTTAACATGTGACTGTATTTTCTGAATTTCTTACTTTTTTATATGTGTAAGATTGTTTTAGTCTTTCTTTTATTTTGTAGATTGTTATAATTATCTATGTTAAGCGCTTTAGAGTTCACATAAGATAGGGCGCGATATAAAATACTACTTTTTTATCTTATTTTTTTTTCAAGTTGTTATAATATTGATTTTTGTTTTTTTAATTTTCAAACATTAACTAATGTGAGTTAAAAAACCGGGGGGGGGGGGGGGGCAGGAACAACTTTGCTCTTAGTACTTTTAGTAGGGGGCTTATCACATACAATATATTAAAAGGGTCAGATCCATGGGACCCCTTGTGTAGTGATCTATGTGAGTGGACCAAAGTATCTGATTTTAATGCATATAATGTACTCTAAATGAAATTTGTCAGAAGGGAACGTAATTCTCATTTATATGTTACAAGCATTAGAGTTTAATTCTCTTGAGTCTATAAAAATCTTGTTTTTATCAGAGAATATGGTTGTGTACATTGCACGTAAATGGCAATGGCAGTGACAGAATTGTAATTATAAATGCAATTTAAACGCAATATTGTTTCAAATTTATGCAAAATTGTAACGTAAGTGCAATATTGTAGTGTAAAGTAGTGCAATATTGTAATGTAAATTTAGCTGTGGTTAAGGGGGATGTACGGCCACCTTTAGTGCAGTGAGAACAAAATGTAAACATTTTTTCAAATGGCTAAAGTACATTATATTTTTATCAAATTTTAAGTCTTTATGATAAAGATACAATAAATATACATAATTGAATGCATGTTGTGCATATATAATCTATACTTTTGCAGAAAAATGCTTTTGATATCCTCCTTAGAACTGCGCAGCTACAGAATTCAGCAGAGCCTTAAAAAATCCAAAAAAATACGCAAACTGTGCATTAATGTTCTCTCTACAACCATTTGTTGAGAAAATTTCTACATTTTGCACTTTTAAATGATAATTTTAAGTTCAAAACAAGGTATAGTTGTCTTCAAAAATAGTGTAAAGAACCCTGAAAGTAGTTCATTGATAGCAGCACGTGGTCTATTTTTAGCACAGAATTTTGTTTTCAAGACCTCTTCTTACTATGGAGGGACATAACAATCTTTAAATGTAGAAGAGAATTACAGTTGCAAAATATTTCAAATAATATTTAACGCTTTTAAAAGAGGAATTGTGTTATAGTGTGGCTTGAAGTAATTTATTTAGTATTACATGTATTATCGAACAGTTGTTAAATAGTGTACGTATTGAAATAAACTCTTTGATTCCAGGTAAGGAAAAAATGAGCACCATCAAAGTTTAAACTTAAGAGTTTGTAAGTTTGCCACAGATAACTTATAATATCTATCAAAAGATTAATTATCAACAATGAAACACAAAGAAATTAAACACATAAAATCTATATGAAAAACCTTGCGTTAGTATCTATTAGTACCAGGGGTGATCAAAAAGTTCTCGAACTATCTCTATATCTACAAAACCAAAATTTAGATTAGAAACAAATTTGGTGCACTCTCAAGTTCTATAAATAGCATATTCTGAATAAAGTTTTGCTCACAATGTGAAAATGAAGTCATTATGCAGGTACTTGTGACGAAAAATGGTTGTCTCAGTGGAACTCATTCAACAAACGACTAAAATATTTATGGTATATCTTAAAAATGCCTCTGAAGTAACGTATAAGAATTTGTTCATAGTTTATTAAGACAAATGACTTCCTAATAATTCAATCTATGATTGGATATATCGTTTTAGTGAAGGAAGGCAGATGGTTGAATATAATACTTGTTATGTTGAAAGCAAGTTTGAAAAGGGTTGTGTTTTTAATTAAGCAATATGCTATCAAAGACCTCCAATTTACACTTTGAAAAATACTTGAATATTTCAACAATAATATAACTATCAAATACCTAAGATATCGTTTACTTTTTGATCACCCCCCCCCCCCCCCGTATATACTCTGTCTAATAAACTTTTACAATTTTCATTACAGCGGAGAAACATTTGAAAAGGCATATATTCAAAGTGGGTTAGGAGATAAAAAAATTTTTTTTATTTGCCCTTTTTGTCAAAATTACAATTTTACAAAGTAAAGAAAAAAAATCAATATATTTTATGTCTTTAAAATGACGTTTGGTGGACCTCCCATTTATTGGGTCCTAGTTATAGGTGGAAAAAAAATTCCTAAAAATAAACAAATTTGTTGACGGAAGAAAAAAAATATATCGTGTTATTGATTAAAAAAAAATGAGTCGGGCCATTTCTAGGCAGTAAATCGGGAGAGGGCAACCAAATAATTTTATAACAAATGGTCTTATAAGGCTAGTACATGTTTCATCACATATTAAATGCTTTTTAATCTTTAGCACTATTTTGAAAAAAAACATATTTTTGTTTGGGCGATGATAGACATATGCAATAAATGGACCTTTCTTTGCAAACATTGTGCTTGCTTCTAAATTTCAACACAATATATTTTATCAAGCTTCGTATGTTCATCATTACAACGTTGTCAAGTGAGGTAAAACATTACTTACATATATTTATATATTGGTGACATATATACCAACTTTTCGAATGTAAGACATGTAATCACAATTTGTTTTCATGCACCGCATATTGTTTAACAAAATTGCTGCTCCTCCTTGCAGTATTTGAAAATAACTTCTATTGTAAACACATATGTTTAGATTTTTTACTTTTTTCTTGAGTTTTTAAAAAACTTATCAAGACTTCTTCCATGAAAAATTAAATATAATCATATAAATAAACGCATCTATCCACAGCAGATATATGCACATGCCAGGGAATAGTTTTTCCAGATTTGATGAAGTGGGGTTAAAATCGCATTTTTTCATTAAACAGACGATGCGATGCAACAAATTAAGGTAGTAAGTAATATAATCTAATGATTATTACTTACTTATTTCTTGTCTTGGTGTTACTATGGTCGTATTTATTCTAAAGTCAATGTTATTCGAACTCTGTGTGACAGAGAAATGGCGGACGAAATAAACACATGGCTTCAGGACACCATATGAAAAATCAAATTCCAAGAAAAAAGCCAAATATTTTAACCAGGAATACATTTAGAACAAGGGCTGAAACTGAGTCAGTAGCTAGTTCTAGAAGAATGTAAATTTCTAAGTTTTTTTTTTCATCGAATAGGAAAGGTAAGGAAAGATTGGTATCTTAATTCTTAAAAATTTCTCGTTAAAATTGTATTTGAGTTCACGTGTATGATAAAAAGTTTTTGCTCACAGAATTGCGTGTCTTTCTAATTAATGACACTTAAGATGTGCATGTATTTCTTCTGTCTTAACAAGGTATCCTTATCAAAACAGGTTTTACAGGAAAATAGGATATATCTTTTTTTCTCAAGCCAGCAAATAACACCGAACTGTTCGAGGGCAAAAATAAACAAAAAATCTTTGAAATAAGATCCACTGACACAAAAGGAAAAAAAAGCGTCAAAAACAAAAACTGAAAAAAGAAATTTATTTCCTTAACACCCCTCAGTTCGTGCCCTGTTTCCTCTGCACTCTGTCATCTCAGCGTTTGTAAGGTATGTAAGAAGACACCGTGAGACAAACACCTCAATGATAAAAGAAAAACCTCGGCCCCACGGATTTTCCTTCGTGCTTACTGAAAAGATTTCAAGGCATCTGAAATTTAACAGTATTTTACTTATCCCCGCTGATAACAGAGAGAGATACATAAATTGTGTTTTAATGGGGTATCTATTTACCTACGAAAACCAGGGAACTGCCACAGGCCAAAGGAAGTCGGTGTTTGGTGATGAATCATCTACGGTAACCGTAGTATGCTTATTTGTGGGCTTCGTATTTCTCACTAAAAAAAGTGGGACGTGATGGCTGGTGATCTATATAAATATTTCTTTCATTTACCTTCACTTTTCATCATCTTGGACTCCTCCGTGCCGTCTTTTTTTTCTGTGACTTTGTACGCCCTGCATTTTTAATCCATTTTAGACTATATTTTTGCTACGTTTAAAAGACACGATTTTTTTAAGTTTAAAAATGTATTTTTACTTCATTTGATTTTACAACTGTCCACTTGTTCTGGATGCTTATTTTGCGTACATGCTTCATGGTACCAGTCTGCCAACTTTTCACAAGACATTTTTTGATGTGGAAAACTATCTAAGCAATTGTAAGAAAATACACATAAAGCTTCTTCTACCACATTTGATAGATTAAGATGTTACAGATAATATATATTCACCAAAACATACTTTTAAATAGGTCTGTCCTTCCTTTGCCAAAAAAGAGGTTCATTTACACGACAGAGTGATTGAGAAATAAGATAACGTGGATATATTGTCGGAGACCAGTCAAACGTTACACAAAGAAGTGGAATACCTAATAGATTGTCTGGTTGACGGCCCTATATATATTATCCTCAATATTCTGTGTAGAAGGCTACCGGCACTCGTACTCAGTTGAGCTGATGCGAAATTCAACGAGATTGCACAGCAACATACTAGTACAAATCAATATTTATAACGTTTGCCATTAAAAATACGGAAAAAAGTCATTTTATGCTGGTTAAAAAAGTGTACATGTATTTATATGTTTTTAAATCAGGTCTATGAATTGAGAAATAAATTGTGTACTAGTGGAAAACACGTGAAATTACAATGTGACCCACATATATGTACATGTACGATA